TTTTTTTGGGGCCGTTGCGGTGTTCCGTCCACTCATCTCGCCGCTGGATAACGGCTACTATCTCCTTGTGGTGCTTGTGAGCGTGTGGCTTCTCGCTGCCGACACCGAACTCCTCCTGCATCCCGACAATGAACCTGCTCTGTTTGCCGCTTGCACCGCTGCCATTGTTGCTATCGCCGCGTTCTTTGTGTACATCGTCCTGAAGACGCTGCAGGTGATTGCGTTTGCCAGAAGGAAATGGGCAGGTGCGGATGTGCGTTGAGGGTACCGGACCGCGGGTTACCGTGTTGCATCTGTGTAGATGTTCAATGGGAACGCGGAGCAGTGGGTTCGACTCATGGATACGCATTCGCATTTTTGGAATGTAGAGAAGATATGTTCTTGATATTATTTGTTTGACTTGCCTGTTTTTTTTTCATCCCTTTCTTTTCTTTTGTTTCTTCATGCAAAAAAAGGAAACCAAACCAAACAGTACAACGCGAGGGCAGGGGGTAGAGGGAAACACATACACACAAAAGAAAAGGTAAAACTGAGGGGAAAACTAGAAAGAGAAGAGGAAATTGACAGGGGGACGGAGGACGGTAGTGTGGGGGATGCTAAAAGTAGTCCCAAGTGAGCTGCAGTTTGGTGCTCTTGCTGTGAACGATGTCCCCGTGTACTGTCGCTTTAGTGTTGTGAACACGGACCCGATGGTTTCTTTGTCGGTGCAATTTACCGCGACGACGGTTCCTGCAGTCATTCGCTTTCAACTGTGGGATGACATGCTGCTTCTCGACGATGATGATATTGACGGCGGTGGCGCACAGAAGGATCGCCAGAAACGGGGGAAATTGTCCCTCTTTTACAGCGCCTTTTTTGAAGGTATCAGCGTTATTGACAGGCTTCTCCTGGGACCGCTAGAGAGCAGGGAGGTGGTGGCAATATTTCACGCGGATCCAGTGCAGTTTTCTACCGTCATGGTGCAGGCACCCCCAGCGATGGTTAGAGGGGTTATTCAACTGACGGCGGCATCATTGCCGTCAGCCGTGACATCTTCGCCTTCGGACACGGACGCCAACAGAAAACACCATCACCAGCACAAAAACAGCAATAGTCATAGTAGTGGCAGCAGCAGCTTTCCCATGTTCAATTCCTCGTTGCATCTTGTGAATGAAAAGAAGGAATGCAATCCGCAAGCAAACAAAATTAGTCCCCACTCCACCCCAGGAGGTGCGAGTAAAACAGAAATGAGTAGCCATGGAGATACAGCTGTGAATGAAAGCAGAACGAAGAAGAGCGATGCGGGTGGGCGGCATGACCCGCAGACTTCTTCGTTGTCACTTCTTTTTTCCCGGTCCCCCACAGTGGCGGCCGTGCGATCCGAGACTGTCACACTCCCATTTACTGCAAGCGTCTTTCTTTCTTTGCTCACTGTGTCGAGATCGGAGCTGCGGACTACAATGGCGCCGGGCAAAACGCACTTGATGGACTTTACCGTCACAAACGCCTCGTCACTGCCGCTTCCCTTTGTGGTACGCTCGCAGACGGTTCCGCAAAAAAACGTGGAGTTTTCCCTTTACGAGGAAGATAAGTTTGAGGAGCCAAAGATTGGTCGCACTCTTTGGCTCGATAGACATGCATCAATGAATTTTACTCTGATGGTACGAACTTCCGCGACTGCTCTGGCCGGCTGCACCACAGGCATGCAGGAATACCGCGCAGTCCTACAGTGTGACAACCTCCGTGACGCCCGTAACTCTGAGCTGGTGTATGTTCACATCAATGTCGTCGCGGCAGAGTCTCAGACAGACCTTGTGAGCGTCACGGATCCGGTGCTTGATTTTGGTGAGGTATACCGTGGGACAAGGGTCATTCGTGAGTTGAACATTTGCAACACGAGTCGTGAGAATGTGACCGTGCGACTGCTTGACTCACGTCCAGATCACTGCGAGGGGGTCTTAAGTCTTGTACGGTCATGCAGCACCAATGGCAATGGCAATGAAAAGAATAACGCCAGTAGGACCAACACGAGCAACAATAGTAGTAATGACAAGAATAAGAATGAGGGGAATAACAGTAATGGTAACGAAAAGAACGACAATGTGGTCACCGTGGATGAGGTATTGATTGTTCCACAGAAGGGGAGTGTACCGGTGGGTGTCATGTACGTTCCCTCCACAGACCAGGAAAATAAGGCGACAT